CTGTGTAAACAAATGTAGGTCCCCACAAGTATAGTAATGCTAGGACACACACACACAGTTATTACAGTAGGTTGCAAGATCCATGCTAAATTCAACCTGTGCAAGTGTGTGTGTGTGTGTGTGTGTGTGGTGTGTGTGTGTGTGTGTGTGTGTGTGGTGTGTGTGTGTGTGTGTGTGTGTGTGTGTGTGGTGTGTGGTGTGTGTGTGTGTGGTGTGTGGTGTGGTGTGGTGTGGTGTGTGTGTGTGGTGTGTGTGTGGTGTGGTGTGGTGTGGTGTGTGTGTGTGTGTGGTGTGGTGTGGTGTGGTGTGTGTGGTGTGGTGTGGTGTGGGGTGTGGGGGTGAGAGAATGATGGTGTGGTGCGGATGTGCATTTGTGTTATTGGGGGTATAGGAGTTTAATGAGAACCCCTGTGACTGAAAGGTGGGTAGAGAACAACCGCTGGGGTAACCTGAGTGGTGCATGCTGGGTGTCACATCTCCTCTGGGCTCAGCAAGTGTGAGTGGGAGCGATGATGGCACAGTAGTTGGGATAAAAAAGAAGTATGACGTGGTTTCCTGTATAGTCATCGAGCTAATTGCCAGATTGTTGACATTTCACCACATGAGTAATTTCCCTATCCCTCAGGCTGCTCAGAGCTCACCCACCGACATGAGTGGCAAGATCTGTGTGGTGCCACAGCCCGACACTGAAACATAGTGATCAGTAATCGTTGCACAATACACACAATTAACGTCTTTCTACAGAATGCACTTCCACCCCACAGCAGAAACCACTTCAGTTGCAGCCACGGAGCCATGCGATTTATGATAAATAATTGTATTTGACCAAATTCACCAGTTCAATCTGAGGGTAGCATTGTTTGCAGTGGGAGCATGATTATACCCAGCGCTGTCTGGCGGCCTTATTTAAATGTATCTTTTAGGTCCTTTTTGCCGATGAATCACGTAGTGCTCCAGCTCCGCATGTTAGCTTTCTTGAGTCTCGCTGACCGACCTTGCAAAATCATACCTCTATTTAAATACAAAAATACCTAAACGGAACAGATTATATTCAGTAATCAGTGAACCTATTACCTAACGATTAAATACATACAACCAAGATAAATACAGTAACAGGATCCAACTCACAAAATACATATGTAATATGTCAGATGATTAAAACGTTAAGCAAGTGTGCTGTCTAGCAAAAAAACCTTAGTTTACGTTGCTTACTTTTATTAGCAGACACACATTTCAGTCCTCTTCCCAGTGTGAATGAGCTTATCACTGTACAGATCCTTTATATTGAATACAAAATCTGTTTATAAGAGTACTGTTGAGCACTGCTGCAGGGCCTCATCAGAGTCTTATGTAAGGCTTGTTTTTGTTAACATCAAGGTCTAAGCTCCATGTGAGTCAAGCTGTTTCTGTGGCAACCCCGTTCACCACAGTTTCAGTATAGGGCTTGTCCGTCTGTATATGCGCAGCGTGTTACATAATGCTGCAGTGCATAGTCTTTACGATTTGGGATAAAACATTATTCTTAAATCTTATTTTGGGTGGTGTGAGACATGTTGAATCAAGTATTCTATCCCTCTCTGAGCAGTAAACTTTAGTTCTTGCCGAGGAAGCATATAAAGATTAAAATATTGAGGATTGCACTTTCTTGTTCTTATTCCTTTTTGTTACAACAACTGTACGCTGCTGATTACTGCTATTCGCTAATATTAAAATTGATTTGCTTCAGTTTTTAATAATGCAATAAAACCTTTTTCATTTAAACCATAGCATGCCTTTTGTGGTTCATTAAACAACACTAGCATCAGGGCTTGGGGCTCACTGATAATTAGCTAATTGGTTATTTACTGCTGACCTAGATTTGATTGTCGTCAACATAATGGGAAAACTACGCTGAGTCACAAATTCTTTCCTGTTTTTTAATGAGCGGAAGCTACGTGGGTATTTGACCCACACCAAGAAAACTGACTTCTCAATAAGTACACAATTCTCTAAATGCTGTCCTTTAGAGTATTATGACAAATCCTCTAAGTGTGTGTGCTCCGGCTTAAGTGCTCCGGGCCTCTCAGAGTCCCACCAGTAAAGAAGGGAGGTGCACCTGCTATGTAAAGGTCCATCGTCGTACAATCATCATCATCCATCCGTCTCCGTCAATCTATCCTCCATCTATCCATCCATCTATCCATCATCCGTCCATCTATCATCCATCTATCCTCCGTCCATCTACCATCACTATCCATCCATCTATTCCATACATCTATCTCATCTATCATCATCTATTCATCCATCCGTCCATACTATCATCCATACTATCCATCATCCTATCCATCCATCTATCCATCTATCCTCCATCTATCAATCATCTATCCTCCATCTATCCATCCATCCGTCCATACTATGCCATCCATCTATCCATCCATCTATGCCATCCGTCCCTCTATCATCCATCTATCCTCCATCTATCATTCCATCCGTACCATCTATCCTTCATGTTCTATCCATCCATCCGTCCGCATCACTAATCCATACATCTATCCCATCCATGCTTTCATCCGGTCCGTGCATCTATACCATCCATCCTTATCCAGGTCCAGCCGCGCCATCCATCCATCCGTCATACCCTATCCATGCCCACTCTATTCTGCTGCAGACCGTTCGTCCAAGGAACACGCCGTACTAAAAACACCGTACTCCTTCGCCACTCCGACATCCATACATCTCGCTCCGTCCCCGTCCGTCTAAATCCATCATCCATCCTCCCCTCCGCTCCTCGCTCCAGACCTCCATCGCATCCGCTCGATTCATGTCTCTGCTACCCTGGGGGCAGCAACTTCTTGCTCTTTTTCCACTGTCAGTCCCTCCTTCCGACGCTATAATGAGCCTGTAATTTCTTCGCTTCCCCCCCCACGCCACCCCGGACGCACCCACCACCGGTATTCTCCTCTCTTTTCGCTTTCCTGTCCGCCTTCCCACTTGTGTGCAGAATTGGAGAAGGCTTATCGGGCGCGTAGGCAAACCACCCGGCATTAACGGAAATACAAAAGTCAGTGGGCGGGTAGCAGCCGCCATAAAACGAGAAAGCTTCAGCAAACTTACTGTGTGACGGCGGCGGCTTTAGAGCCAAGAGAAAGAGGAAGAACCGAGGGGTGGAGACTTTGGAAACAGTGATTTGGAGTCCCCGGCCGGTGGAGCCGCGATTAGAGGCCGGGCCGCTGAACAGCCGAGAGGAGGACTTTTGAAAGCAGGAAAGAGAAAATGGAAACGGGAGAGTGGAGTAACGTTGCCCCGGCTGAGTTCACCTGGGTTTGGACTGCGAGCAAGTATGTGTGAGTGGCGGGAATGAATGGACACAGGTGAAGGGTATTCTGCAATATGATGGTCGTTGATGTGTGTGTTACTCGCCTGTGTGTGTGTTTCTGTTGCCGTCATGAGTTCCAGTATTTGAAGAAGACGTAGGGGCAGGATTATGCTTTTCATGCTTTTGGCACCAACCTACAGCTTTTATATGTCCTTGGAAATTTGCACAGCTTTGGAAAATGGAAGCGTTTATTATCATATCCTGCTACACCACACACACTAAGATCAATGTAACCGTACACTTGTAACTGCGCTTTGGATGTGTTGAATTATTTCTGGAGCTGTATCAATTGATTCTTATGTATCCTTCAATATATATATCCTGTCTTGTTTTTTATTGATTTTCGTTCATTTACAAACTTATTTGCCAAACCCCCCCCCCAATTCTAGCATTTGGTGTGTAAGGACAGTTAAATTGTTTTGCATACAATTTCCCCACTCATCATTTAGATAATTGACTGGAGGTGTTTAAAAGTAGCATCTTTTATTGTCAAGGGTGGTCCCACCCTG